GCTGCCTCACTATTTTGTCTCTTAGGCTGTTGGATTTGGGCCCAATATGATGTGATCTGATGTGGCCCTTTTATTTGTAAAGACGCATTCTCAACACCCGCCTTTAGTATTATGGTATTGATGAAATCTGGTCTTGCACGTGTTGGTTTTCTGGACATTGGATATGTGGTTTGAGATGCCATATAAATAGCACTCAAACGTTTTTTCATAGTGGTGCGTGTATGAGTTTTGGTTTAGGGTTTTCATGTGTTGGATTACTATCTCAATTCTATTCATCTTCTCCTGTAATCTTTGAGGTTATTCTTTGATGTACTGAGTGTATGTTGTTGAGAAGTTGATGATAGGCTTACTATGGTGAATCGACTTAGCGAGATGAGAGAAAACATTGAAAAAATCTCTGATTTCTTTGAACATCTATACGCATTGTTCTTAGTTGATTTTAGTGGATCTAGAGCAATATCTACATGTAGATACTTAACAGGTGAGTAGCGTTTAGAGCGTGTGAACATTCGGACCTCTTGATGGGTGAAAATTCCTTTGTGTTGATTCTTTAATTTTTGCGATTTACTTTTCTGCAAATGTTTGGTATATTTGAATGTTTTTGAAAAACTCGATTATGACCAACAATGGAGACAACTTCTAGAAATGAAATCATAAATGCTAATTCATTTTCCAACGTCATCAATCTTCACAACCAGAATGTCATGTCAATCCGAGGACTGGGATCGCTCTGTGAAATTCGATCAAGATATGCCAAGACTTCTTGCCTTGTTGCTGCAGATGTGATAAGACAGATAATGACTTTGAAGAGAGACACAAGATATCATGAAGTATACGCATATCCTAATGTTTCTAGAGTATATAGAAAGGATTTAGAGATGTTACACCATGTGCTGCGGTTATTTTCGGTGGACCCAAGTAGATGCCATCAAGGTATCGAATTAACTTGAGACCGTAAGGGAAGTAAATTGCACTTCACAATAGAAGCAATTAGTATATATGAGGTGAAGGGAAAGCTAGGTCGATGCATCAATTTTGACTAGTGAAGGAAGTTGTTGATGATCGATTGTTTGAAATTAGTGGCATCACTTTTGTCATTGACAATTTATATAGGAAAAGAAAGACTAGAGATGGAGCGAAAAGAAAATGAAGAAAATCAATGAAAAAAGGATTTTACTATGCAGCAAAAAATGCAGAGAATTATTGAATGAAAGGAAGCTCGAAGATGAAGTCAAGGGTAAACTCGTGAATGATTGGAAGGCTCTAACACCATGTGGGGAGAGATATAAGAACAAAATATGCTTCATTAAACTTTAAAACGCTTATGAATGGTCACTGAACTTCATAATATTTTCGAGTAAAGTTAATTTTCTATGAAATTTGACTTAAATCAAGAAAATAAAATAAAATAAGTATCAACTAGATAATGTGACTCTCAATTTAAGATGAGATTATTGATATTGGTAAAAAATATAATTTATGTACTCATCAAAAGCTATGTTTAAAGGGAAAGAAGAATGCTAGCGTCAAATTGACATAAATCTTAATTTAGATTATAATATTTCTTTACGTTGCTAAAATAAAATAGAGAAATTATTTCTTTATTTCGATTGAGATCTTAGTCCCAAATCAAGAAAATAAAAAATTATATCTTAAACAAGCAGTGAAAATTTTCATTTAGAGTCAAATAATATTACTCAAGACTAATAAAATATAATTTTTAGAGTTGTCACAAGATAATTTGAAAGGAAAGAAGGGCAATGTCTTCATGTATGATATTTTATACTTAGAATTTTTTAATTTTTAAACAGTTGGATTCAGTGAGTAAAGTTCACTGATCATTCAAAATCATTTTAAATTCCGGTGAGTAAAGCGTGATGAAGATATAGTTTAATGACACATGAAATATGGTGAGTAAGCAATAAAGTGCAACATGTAAAATTTCAATGACCACTTTAAAATTCAGTGACTAATGAAACACGTTGAGTGAGTGATGGAGTGCAATTAATTCGGAAGTACTTTAAAGTTCAAGCTTGACAGAGATATAAATTGATTGACTAATGAAACATTTAACTCTTTATATGTGGAAAAAAATCATTGTAAAAAAAAAAAAAATTAAATAAATAAAAAAAACACTCATATAGCATATCAAGTTTGTTTAAAATTAATAAATTAATTTTTATGAATGTTGAATTAAGTTATAGATTTTAACAATTGGAAAACTTGAGTTCTTACTTAGGATGAAGTATTGAATAATTTTAATAGAACAAGCAAATATTTACAAATAGAAGACATGCATATTAACATTGTTATAGACCATTTAAAAGGGATCGTTTCATTTTTTAAAATCTATAGAGAAAATGTGTTACAATCAGTCATGGTTGATGCTAAAAAGATAGCTATGTTCTAGGGCCTAAAAAATTGAAGGGTCGGCCGTGTATCTAGGATCGCACCTCTCGAGTATTGAAAGAATATCTACTATCGAAAAAAAAGTATTAGATTTAAAAAACATAGAAATATCAGTTCTCTTATACAGAAATTAGCTTCAAAGCACATAAAAGTCCCCTAAATTAGGAAATTAAGAGAATTATTTTTTGATAATAGTGAGGAGAGTCCTGGCCTTTTAATGGCTTGGATCCATTTTTTAAGGGAAACAGTTTGGACCTTTCTCCAGTGGTCATCCTTAACACCAACCCTTGCAAACTATCAATAAGAAAAAAAGAATTGAAAAATGTTCATCTAAATGGACCATTGAGTATCTAAATTTGACAGGAAGTTCCTTGACAATAACGTGTCGACTATTATAATCTTTTATTCTTTATCGAAAGCTAAGAATCTCATTCCCTATCTTATTTTAGTGTTCTACTTTCTTTCTACCAACCACCTTGTGAATCTTGAAAAGTTAGTACATAAATAATTATATTGATGAGCAATTATCTCGCTCTTTTTGAACATAGTCAAGTCGGGCGTAGTCTTATAATTCCAAAAAACTAGTGCAATAAAAGTCACAACTTATTCTCTGGAGGACATAACAACGAATTGAACCATCTTCTATCTCAAACTTGCACAAGTAATAAGTTGATCACAAAGCTTTACTTTAGCACATCATTCCCTGGCTAACGAGATTTCCCTACAAAAATATAAGAATTATAATGCCAAAATGCATGTAGGATGAATTAGGAATGTAGATGAAACCCGATAACTTCATATGAGTTAGGTTCTTTATGCAAAGAAGTCAAAGACTTTTTTCTAGGTAGAAGTTCATTCCTTTTCAACAATCAAAACTTTAATTTAGAAGACAGAAAGGGGGGCAATCATCAGTGACAAAAGGAGCTAGTTACCATAGGAGCTACAGATTCAATCAAGAATTGAACGAGCAAAGAATTCATTAAAAAGTGAATTTGCTTGACATCAAAGAACCTTGATGATTGGTTATTATTTAAATTATTTTTATATTAACTTATGATTGCAAAACTATTATGGTGTGTGTGTGTGAAGAATATTAATTAGTAGTGGTCTATCTAATTCGATTCTATTGATCCTATATTTTTTACAAATCAATAATTGAGTCGAATTTAAAGACCGGTAAAATGCAACGATATTTTGGGCATCGAATGCGATCCATTCTCCTTAGTTTAGAATCCTTTCTCCTGAAAGTCGTACAAGAAGTTTGCAAAACACTCCTTGGCTCCATTGTAGAAGTAGAACCTTAGAAGAGGTTCCCATTTGGGCACCACCACAAGTTTTATACTGTTGAAGGCCCCACAGAAATTCGATACTTTGACACAGATTTGTTCTCTCGGTGACTAAACAATCAATAATGAACCACTTTGCATATTGATTTTCACTTCTCACTTTATCTTGATTCGTTTTTCAGCATCCCCAATTTTGTTTTTTTTTTTTTTTTTCGTTTTTAGAATTAATTTTTGTAATGTATGTAAATAGGGTGGTTGTGGGGTGGGGTGGGCATTTGTCTTGGCACTATGGTAGGTTGTAGTCTCAAAGCTAGTGGGTTGATTTGGCGAATCAAACTAAAAAATGGACCCCACCCTTCCTTTATGTTGTTGCCAGGGCTTTCCTGGGCCGAGCCAGAATTTTGTAAAGGGTGTATTTGTTCGATGAGAAATGCAAGTCTGTTTTGTCCACTTTCTCCATCCCCCTCTATTGAGAAGGCAATTATCTCGCTTGCAAACATAAAGCTGACCAATTTCAAAAAGTTAAGATTTGTCGAACATAATCTTAATATGATGTTAAAGTTGATAAAGATAATTAGTTCAAGTCCCGTAGTCATTTATCAATTAATATGATTATATGCCAGACTTTTAATGAAAAATAAATAAAATTAACCTATAAAAGAAGAAGTTTATCTAAGAAAATCCTAAATAAAATAAATTTATATGTTACTTAACCACTTAAATTTTTAGTCCAAATAGTTCAACGTATTCATAAAAATATCTTCCTTTCTATTGAGACTAATGCAATATACACGTTTAATTTTATTTAGTATTGATGATGACTTAACAATACAATGAATAAGATTTTATCTACCTATTTTCTTTAATATTGTCAACTTGGGAGTTTATTCGTTCTCGAATTGAACGAATAATTTCAAAGTTAATTAATTAACTTAAAGCTATTTTTAGTTTGGTTCAAACTCGAATCATTTAACCACTCAATGAAGAATAAATTAATCGTGTTTGCTTGAACTTTTCAATATTTATTGACACCTTATTCAAGTCTAACTCAAATAATGCACTTGTTAAACTTCAATTAGGTAATGTCACGTGACAAAATGTAAATCAAAGTGTACACTAAAGTGTATATGTAGCGAGGTTCTATCTCTTTTCTAGATTCTATAATACAGTCGGATTATTGACCATGCAAGGAATAATACATCACTCTGGCTAATTCCTATATATAGGTCCCTATAATTCATAGTTCATTGCCATTCAATTTGATTTAAACACACTTACATTCACTCTTTGCTGCCAAATTGCTTCATGGCCTCCCTTCAGGTTCTTTCTCACTCTCTCTTCTTCAGAGTAGCAAGTTTGGAAGCTCAAAAAGTTAGGTTTAAGTAACTTTTTTTCCAAAGGTGTTGGAAGCTCTTTAAAAGTTCCTTTTTTTCTTTGGATTTTCATTACAAAATTATACTTTATTTGACAGCACTTGGACAAACAGTATGTTTGACTAAGCTTGAAAGTTCCTCATAAGTAATTTTTTGTTGAACACGAAGTGTTTCTTTTTTTTTTTTTTCGTTAAAAAATTCTACATTTTTTTACACTACTAGACAAATATTATGCTTGCCTAACCTTGAAAGTTCCTTAATCTTTACTATTCTAATTTTAATCCTCATCAAACAGGAGCAATAGAGGTAAATTTTGTTTCATCAAAAAATTTTGCCCTCTCAACATGACGATCCTAGCTCCGACTTCGATGGCCATCTATTTTTGAAAACACCACATATGAAGCCACGAACTTGACCTCTATTTATGTGACGCGGCGTGGTAAAGATAAAATATAACTAAATAATTTCATCCTAAAATAACAACTTAAGATGTTTATTGTATCATTCTAGTGTAAATAATCAGTGCATGTAGTATAACAAACAAAATTTAATTTCTTTTTCTTCTTTAGTATTGTCCAGTAGTACTGTGTCTTCATTTATGACATATATCTATACAGGTTGATGCTGCTCCAGTGGAAGAGGTGAAAAGCCAAGCAGAACCAGAAACAAATTTATCTTCAAACGTTAAAGAACCAGAAGTGCATAAACTAGATGAATCCACTAAAACAGTGGACCCCTGTCCCTGTCCCCACGTGGAAAATAAAGAAACACTAGAAATTGATTCTGATGAAGAAGAAGAAGAGAAAGAGATGGAACCATTGGCTAATAAGGAAGAAGATTTTTCACCTTTTACGTCTGTCGAGCAACCTGCTTGGCCTGCTGAATTCAACCAAGAAGAAGACGAGGACGAAGAAGAAGACGAGTATATTTACAAGGTTTGACACATTCTATCAGCATGGTCATGCTTAAAAACGACTACTTTATATGCCATCGAGAAAAATAACTAGTAACTTTTAATCACGGTCAAACATCATATTTGTTATCATACTTTGCTTGTACTCTACGCGATGCTAGTAGTTATATATGTATGGTTGTATTGTAGTCTTCAATAAGGTACCAAAACCTATATTTTATGCTTTCTTAAGGGCATTGTAATTTTTATCAAGCTGTGTTTTTTCGTATGCGGCAGTTGATTTTCTAATTAAATTGTGCCATAATTATTAGTAACCTGTTTAGTTTCTAAGCCATATTTAACTGCATGCTGACCACGTTAACTTAGCCCCATTTGATGCACATTATTTGACTAAAATGAGTTTTGTAATAGAGAATTAATGAAGAATGTGCAGTTAAAAAGTAATGTGAAATATTTTATTTTGAAAATGTGTGGTTGAAATTGAGTTTGAAGAAAAATAAATATTCAAATAATGAGAATCAAATGGGGCATTAATGAAACCAGTGCTGTGTTCATTTACAATACGTCGATTAAGTTATTTATTTTAACAATGACATAAAAGTTACTTTAAAAAGAAGCATATTTTACTTGCAAGATGTTGAATAAGTTATTTATTTCGTCAACGACAGAAATTATTATTTTTTAAGTAAATTTTTATTTAAAAGTCAGAAAAAGTAAAATAAAAAGTAACTTAACATTTACATATATAGTGGGAAACATGAGAAAAAGGACCTATATTCAAAAATTTCAATTCCAAGTTATAGATAGACAAGGAACAAATTAATCAATCCACACGGCACATGATGAGGTTTTACAGACTCCTGGCTTTTGACTTATAAGTCAAAACTCAAAAGCCAGGAGTCTGTAAAACCTCATCATGCCATCTCCGATTTGTAAAGACAGTGACTCAGAATAGTGAAACTTCGAGTATAGTTTAC